CCACTAGATGGCACGAGGAGTCCATTGTAACTGCTTTTCCTCTCAGGCTCGTTGACGCTTCTGAACCAGGTTAGAACGTCACTGACTGGCCAACAGATCTCTGGATCCGTTGTTCGTTCAGGTCACCTTTGCCGCGCAAAAACTGGCTGATGCGTTTGTCCACAAATTCACAGTGGCTCCACTCGAAAGGCGTTGACGTTGACGGGCTGATGCTGCCATCAAACACAAAGGATCGCCATTGTCCATTCCAGATTACCTTCACTGATCACTGCTGTCTATTAAAACATTACGTCGCTCTCCACTATTGTTGCTTTGTTCCTGTCAAATCAATGCTGTTGTTGCTTTCGATGTTGTCGAGGCCGGGATCGATTCTGCCACTGACGTATCTGTCGTCGTTGTGTTTGACGCTGTCAATGTGCTACCAGTTTTATTGCTGCTAGTATCATTTTTATTGTACTATTGTTGTTACTATTACTCCCCTGCCGTTTTACTGCCGTTGCGTATACTGTTCCGTTATTGTTGTTATTATTATTTTTGTGATTGTCGCTATTGTTGTTATTATTATTTTTGCTATTTTGTTCTTTGAATGGTGCTATTATCATTGAATCTGTAGTTCTGTTATAATTACTATTACTGCAATACAAGGCAAATTTACATTTAAACGGCATGTTTCATATTGTGAGGCCATTACTCACAAAGAGAAGGGAGTAGTCAGGTCAGTAGGGTTTGAGGAAGGCACAGGGCATAATATTACTAGTATTCGTATTGTTCCGCCAATGACACTATTATTGTTGTACAAGTTACCTTTCCTAATAATGTCTTGTTAATAGTTCCTGTTGTTCGTGAGATTATTCCTGTTCCCACTTTTGCTTTTGTACTGATCCGTAACAACTGTCTTTATTTTATTTTGTAGCAATAATATTGTTGTTATCGTTGTTACTGATTTTAATGTTTAATGTACTTTAATGTGAAGCCCTTTGAGACATCCCAATGATGTGATAAAGTGCTACACCAAATGCAAGGGGTTGTTGTTATATTCTGTGAAGCGCTTTGAAACATCTGACCGACGTGATACAAATGCAAATACAAGGAATATTATTATGAATATTAATAATAATAATAATTATTTGGTTGTTATTTAAATCTGAACAATTGTTCCGCCTGCAATTCAAAACTACTTGGAGTTTTAGTACATTAACAACCCCCCCCCCACACACACACACACTATTTTTTCCGGGATTAATCAGGTAACTTTACACCTTCCTCATAGGCTGTAGTCTGTAACAGGAAACACGTTTAAACACATTAGCACAATCTGTTTATACAAGCTACAGCCACGAGCGAAGTAAATCATGTGCATAATTGGCACTTTCTTTGAAAGCAACAAAATTAAGACTGCAGAATCGCTATTAAAATGTCATTCATGGGCGAAATGATTCTTGTTCTACATTTTTCTGGAAAGAGTGGAACTTTTGTTTTTTTTTCAACTCTTCCCAAAAGGGAAAGATATGCCCCCAGAACTTTGTTGGCAACTCAGACACTGGTCTGATCAAACCACACGACAACTTGTGCTGTGGGAGAAAGAACCACATAGATTTATAATAACAATAATCCTGGCATTTGATACGGCGCGTTATCACAACTTTGAGACGTCTCAAAGCGCTTCACAGGACACACTGTAAAGTGCAGTGACTGTGTATTTTGTGGGCGAAACGCGGCAGCCAATCGCGCACAGCAGCGTCCCCCACAAACAGCCGTGGATTGAGTGACCAAATTATTATTTGATTGGGATTTGACAGGGGAGAGAGTTTCCTTTCTGCCGATGCATTACACGAGATCTTCCAATTCAACAGATGAAATCATTAGTCATCTATAAACTGTACACCACAGTAAATGAATGATAACGTGTATTTATTTATAAAGCGGGCACAATGCTTCGTGGATCTAAATATCTACATTCATGAAATGTTTCACTAATATAAGGGATGTTATTAATGACCCAATCACATAAATGGATTAACTACAGATATTATTTGTCCACACACGCGCCTCTGTTTACCAGCAGTAAGTAGGAACCCGGTTGTTAAGTCGATTGGTGGATCACTTTTCCGGGGGGTAATAATTCCTTCAAAAAACATTTGTGGAGACGCTGCTGTGCGCAATTGGCTGCTACGTTTAAGCCACAAAATACACAGTCAAGTCACTCTGCGGTATATTCTGTGCAGCGCTTTGAGATGTGGTGAGGCGCCGTATCAAGTGTAGGTATATTATTATTTATTATTATTGCTTGAATAACAACATAGGTTTACAACAGAATTAGTCGCTGTCAGGGATAAACAGCCGAATGTCAGTGGGACGTAGGGAAGAGGGTACGCGCTGGGTATTGGGTTGGAGTTTGTTTAAGTTGAGGTTGAGTCTGGGACAATGAGTCCCCATGAATGTTGGGGTTCAAGGAGCATCCCAGAACCTAACGTGTGGATCCTGGGGCACATTTACACAGCGCCCAGGGATGTTCTCCCGGCGTGAAAGGCGCTGTGTAAATGTGATGTGGTTGTTGTTCTTGCCAGACCCCCACTGGGAGACTTTTTTCTCAGACGTTCCCACACTGAGATTGTATTTGCATGATTTAATGCAAATGTCTGCTGGCTATTGGGTCTCGTTTATGGTATCCTGGGAAGAATCCCACCTTTTCCCTTTTGAGTGATGTGAATAGTGGTTCGAGTTTTAACGACTCGCATCTTCCTTATGGATCCCCCCAGTCTCCTCCACACCCCCCCCCCCCCCCCTCTCTCTCCTCAGCTATGTGTACTATGGTACTTCGTAGATAGGTTCAACTTTCCACGTGTAAACATCACAAAGCCCAACAAGGTTCACAATCCATCTGAAGTTTCCCTCTGTGCAAAGTGAACTGTGCAAAGTGAACTGAAACGCTCCTTATACTCCCAGCATTTAGTACCTTCCTGTCAGGTCGGGTTCGATATTTGAAGCACTCATGGAACTTCCCCCTTCAAGCTTTTTTTTAACCCAAGCACACAATAATTTTCTTTTATTACTGTCTAAGCCCATGTTTCATTCCTGAAGAGAATTAAATCTCCCTCCGCCCTCCATATTCCCTGCATCCAAGTTCCATTAATTCATTTTGGTACACAATAAAACCAAACCAATCTCTGCAGTTAGACCTGAAATCCACTGGCATCCATCTATATACCGTACAGTGTACGAATGATAAAATGTATTTCTTTAGGAAGCAAAGCAATAAATACTTAGTCGATCTAAATACAGAGCATCTCCATCCATTTGTGAAATTGTTGATGAATTTAAGTTGATGACTCAATGTGTTAACCGTAGATATTATTTGTCCTTACTCATTTATCGTTAATAAATAACAGACGATTGTGAATATGATCTTTCTAATGGTAATATTAATGTTTAATTTTGACCATGTTTATTGGGTTCCCAGTGGAAAACTCTCATCTAAAGAGAACTCTCAACACATTTGTTGCTGAAGTCGGAACCATGTTCCTTAAACTAGACTTTGATACCGCAGTAGCGTCAAGGCTTCGATTTGAACGTATTCACAGGTTTGTTATGGTTCAGAGAAAATTTATTATTTTTTTTTTAAAAAATGTTCAAAAACAAAGCAGCACTGAAAAAAATCCCGTTAAACCTACTACAAAACAATATTTGTGTTTGTTACAATCTTTTCCATATATATATATATATATATAGGTCCCGGAATGATTGAAGGAGACAAAATGTGAAACATATTCCAGTTATATGCATTGACACAACTATTGACTTAGCCTTATGTTTATTGTGGCTTCAAGATGTGACACTAAAACATAAATATTTTTTTTCTCTCATTTGCAAAATATTTAAAAGTTTCTGTACACAGTTTTGTTTTCTTCCTCGTTATCAAAAAGTCGAGTTCTACTGAAATGCTGCATTTTAATAATATTCAAACAGAGCATTTGTGGGCACATGTTTCTATATTATAAAACTACTGTATTAAACTATTACAAAATATGCAAATAATACGGTTTTAGTAAATTTACAGCTTTCGTTTTCTTCGAATTTTAATTCGTATGCAAAAAGAATATTTGTACAAACTACTATTTTCATTTAGAATATGAATTCATCATCGAGTTTCCTCACTTTTAAAAAATATTTTCTTCCAGTAAAAGTTCAGTCTAAATGGACATGGTCATGGTAAAAGGGCAGTAGATTTTCACGTAAACTGTATAAATGAATGGCTTCTGCGACAAGTATCTTGTTCACAAAATAGCACAACAAGAAAGGAAAAAAAAAAAGGAGAATAAATGGAATGGTCAGAATTTAGTTTTTTTTGCAACTAGACATTAAATTAAAATAATATATTCTCGTATTTTACACTATTTCAAACAACGAAACGCGATTCAGTAAGTAATGATCTCTGCAAAAATCTAATTTACAATTCTGTGTATAAAAATATAATTTATGGGCACCTCCTCCCCCCCCCCCACCACCACCACACACACGAAAAGTATGCCTTTTTTTTTGTCCGGAAGTAATATGAAGGAATGGACACAAGAAAAAATGTGAAATGTTCTTTAACGATAGTAAGTTTCTGAAATAGCTTCATGACGTTAAGACATGTAGAAAAATATATTCTGTGCATCTCAGGTGACCACTGAAAACGATTCCCTTTCTTATGGGGTGGGGGGGCGGGACGGGGGGGGTGGGGTTGGGTAGTGGGGAGGGGGTCAAAAAAAAACTTCACAGGGGAATAAATTAGCAAAGAAGTTTTTTTTAAGGTTATTGAAGGTTCCAGTTTCTCTCTCTCTCTCTCTCTCTCTCCCTCATTTTTTTAAAAAAAACAACCCAACAGAAAGTAAACCACAAAAAAAAAGCGACGCAAATAAATGTGAACGAAATAAATATCCCCAAAAACCTCTTTTGGGCTTTTGTTGTCTGTTGAGTTCTACTTTATTTTGTGTGTGTGTGTGTCTGTGTGTGTGTGCGGTATTTTAATTTTTTTTAATTAACCTTTCTCTTTTCTCTTTTTAACTCTCTCAGCTCGAGTTCAGCTCCATCCCCAGTGGATGGACAGAGTCAGTGTCCAAAACCCAGCCGCCTAGTTGGTACAAGGCCCTGGAGTACCAGTGCAGCCCGTCTTCCTGGTCAGTGCTGTTGGCTGCGGCTTGACCGGTGGACAGCAGTAAAGAGGAGATGGCGTGGCTCAGCCTCACGGGTGTGAAAGCCCAATGGGCCAGTTTGTGTTGCTCGATCACAGCGTAGCAAGAGGCGAGTACCTGGTCGACCACCAGGTTGCCCTGAGCGGTCAGTGGGGCGTAGGCACCCGACATCTCCTCCAAGTAAACCCGCTCCACCACAGCCGTCTGCAGCTGTTGGCTGTCGCCCACCACGTACACCACTTGTCCTGGAGTCACGTTGCTGGCAAACGTGGGCTTGAAACCGTTCGGACCCTGGCTGCTCTCTTGCAGGACAAACACCAGGTGGGCCGCGGTGAGGGTGAGCCTTCTGGGAGGATCCTGGGTTTCTACCACATAGAAGACTTTCTTGGCCTCCTGCGCTCTGTCCAGAAACAGGATAAAGTCGCTGTAGACCAGGTCCCCTTGATCGTTGGCAGCCAGGATGCGATCTCCAGCTATAAGGTCCTTCACCAACTTGGTGCCTCCACTTTCCACACTGACCCTGGCCGAACCAGGGAAACAGCCTCCTGATTTGGCAGCCACTGAGTTTTCTATATTTTTTTTGCCGGGGGGCGGGGGGAAGAGGGGGGAAAAAAAAAGAGTTGAAGGATTTTTGGAATTATATTTGAACAACTATTGTGCAGGTAATAAAAGAAAAAGACATAAACTGCTATCACAAACTTTTGCTGCTATTCGTTTGGCTGTCATTTCATCCTATACAATAAATAATTCTTGCCTTTGATTCAGCGCCTTATCACGTCTTTGAGGCGTCTCAAAGCGCTTCACAGGATATACTGTAAAGTGAATTGACTGGATATTTTGTGGGAGAAACTCGGCAGCCAATTGCCAATGGCACACAGCAGCGTCCCCACAAACAGTCGTGGATTGAGCGACCAAATGATAATAATTTACTGTTACTATTACTATTTTTACTATTTTTTAACTGGATTATTACCACTGGGAAAGTGAACTACATTGTGCATCTACTTCGCCCACAAAATACAGTCAATCAACTTTACAGTCTATCCTGTGAAGCGCTTTGAGACTTCTCAACGACGTGATAAGGCGCTGTATCAAATGCAGGGATTATCATTATTATTTATTATTATTTTCTAAAAAAATCATTCCAGGGTCTCAATTTTTTACCTTTTTCAGACTAGGTTTGGGCTTTCCCTAAAGACTTTTTTTTTGTGTGTTGAAAAGAGCAAAAAAAATTGACGAGGAATACAGTACTTGAAAGAGGTAAAGTAAACCTAGAAAATATAACTCCCGTGGAGGCACAATCACCAACCTCACTCTGTCTTTATTTACGGCCCAAAATATAATAATAATAATAATAAGTGCAGCGGGAATCTCATCGATAAAACACACTAATCACCTCCAGTCCGGGCTTTGACGCTGACAGGCAGCTCTGTTTGGAAGCACCGATTGATTTGTTCCCTAAAGTTCCCCCCACCCCGGAACAAAGACAGACAAACAGTCTGAACCTCAACGCGCCTGTTTACCGTCATATTTTATTGTCAAGTATCTAAAATTCCACCGCTCCCACCCCCGCCCAACGCCCAGGCTGACCCACACCCCTGATGGAGCCCTGTATTAATCCCAGTTAGGGTCCAGCCCCCACAAAAGAGGTTTCAGAGAACTTTTCATCTCAACCAGGCGCGGGATGTCAATGACTGCATCTCCCCACATATATACTATAATTATTATTATATTATATGATGATGATGATGATGATGATGATGAGGGGCGGCTTAGCAGAAGACTCGCTCAAAATCAAGTACCAAGACCAGTTGTGTCACGGGAAGATATTCACGGCTTTAGTCTTACGACTATCCTCAAGTTTAAGATTGTGCAGAAATGTGGAAAAGTCTTGTTCAGTGTTCAAGTCTTAATCCAGTTTTGCACAGATTTCCCCCCCCCCCCCCACCCCCGAAAAAAAATGGTGGAAAATAGATTTGAAAGGACGAACTGAAAAGATTTTTTTCCCCCAAAATCTTAACATTTAAGACAATAGCCTTAAAGCTAAATCTGTGAGAAATGTTTCGCTACGTTACAGTATAGACTTTACTGCCCTTCATGAACCAACCAAACAATTTACCAACGACTGACTGACTGACTGAATAACTCACTAACCTTCTTTCCTTCCTTCCTCCCCTCTCTCTCAATCAATCTCTCTCTCTCTCTCTCACACACACACACACACACTTGCACTTTTAGGACTATTGTAATTTTCCTTGTTCCGATGTTTCCTTGCAAGAAGAAAGTCTGATAATAATTCTGGATGGGGAATGTTCACACACACACACACACACACACACCCACACAAAAGTACATCAGTATTTTCGTAACACACAAACAGGGGAATAGAAACCCCGACTTCAGGAAACATCTCCTCGTTTCCGAGAGACATTGCGACCCAGTTTTAACCACATCGTTTGCGAACACTAACACATTAGTGACTGGGAATACACACAACACACTCCGCTGTGACTCACACCAGTGACTGACTGCGTTGTTGAGAGCTGTTTTGGTCATTAGCAATTCTGTGGATGTTGGTTCCTCGACAGGAAGATTCTCTCTCTGTGTGTGTGTGTGTGTGCACAACCGGTGTGGGATTTCATCGCCTTCTTTTACGAAGAAAACAGGGTCGATCGGGTGTGAAAAACAGCAACGATTTTCTTCCCGACTTAAGAAACAAACGCAGAAAGAACACTTAACACTCACTGCTGCAGGACCCGCAGTGGAGTCTGCTCCTGGGGGGTGATTACCTTTTAATTGAGCAGAAAGGGCGCAGATTAGGTTTTTATTGATTCGCTAACGACTTTCTCGCTTCTGGTTAATGGAACTCCACAAATTTGCAACGGTTTGTCGCCGAATGACATGAAAGCAAACACCGAAGGCGTTTGTGTGTTGTGTTTTACTCGGGACAGCAGTCAGTCAGTCAGTCAGTCACTCACTCACTCACTCACTCCAGCAACTAACACAGACAGTTACCTTACCTGAAAAGAGGTGTTGAGTGAGTGAGTGAGTGTATGGGAGTGAATCAATGTGAGTGTCAGTGAATGAGTGTGAGAATGTGAGTGAGTATGTGAGTGAATCAGTGTGAGTGTGTGAGTGAGTATGTGAGTGAATGAGTGTGAGTGTGTGAGTGAGTATGTGAGTGAATGAGTGTGAGTATGTGAGTGAATGAGTGTGAGAATGTGAGTGTGAGTATGTGAGTGAATGAGTGTGAGTGAGTATGTGAGTGAATGAGTGTGAGAATGTGAGTGTGAGTATGTGAGCGAATGAGTGTGAGTATGTGAGTGAATGAGTGTGAGTGAGTATGTGAGTGAGAGTGAATGAGTGTGAGTGAGTATGTGAGTGAATGAGTGTGAGAGTATGGGAGTGAGTGCAAGTGAGTGTGAGTGGTGTGTATGTGTGTGTGTGTATGGGGGGGCTGGGGGGGGGGGGAGAAAGAGATTCTGAACATCCACTAACTTATGATGAACCCGAGGGAGCAGAGAGGGTCGGGGCTGGTCTGTGAATGGTGTGGGGGGGGGACCATAGGTATGGAATCTGCTGCTTGAGAAGCCTTCGGTTAAAACCCAATAAAGGAGCCTTATTGTCATTGTGATTCGGCTAATGGAGCAGACACTCAGGGACCAGAGGAGACACTTCCCCTATTCCCAGCTTCTCCCGCTGTTTGCACAGGTGCAGGAGACCTCTGTGCATCAATTCACACACACACACTACACCCCCGAGTCCAGGCTTTGGCCGGCGCTATTTGCACAGCAGAAACACTGTTCCTTTTCCTGGACACTCGAGAATGTGTATTTGAATTTTAAATGAACGCCTTGGCTTTAGATGCCCGACCATAGCTCATCGTTACCGCCCCCCCCCCCCCCCCACCCCCCCCCTCTCCCACTCTGCGCCTTGACAATGATTCAGGGCTTCAGACCACAGCAGCTTTACATTCCTCTCCCGGGGATCATACCTTCAGCAAATAGAGATATAGAAAGCGAATCTTCCTGGCTGGTATGTGCCCCCCACACCCCCCCCCCCCCACCCACCCCCCACTCCCTCCCCTTCAGCAGACAACACTTAATCTTCTCATATGATTCACTGACATGAAATGCTGTTGGAACAAATGGGTGACAGCCTGAGCTGACAGTATTCTCCACCCGTCCCCCCGGTTTATTCTGCCGCAGTCACACGACCCGACATGACACGCAAAACCAGATTCAAGACTGGGAAAGCCCAGTGTGTGTTCGGAATTTTAAATCTCAGATTTGTCGCGATCCTCCCCTCCTGTTTGAAGAGGGAGCGGGGTTTACGCTGGGATTACGCTGTCTTTAATAGAGACTTCTGATCTGTAATTCGAAACAAAAATCTTTATATATATATATATATATGTGTGTGTGTGTGTGTGTTGTGGCTGAAATAACCGGGTTAGTTCTATCTTGGGACAACGTGTGGGGTTGTGTGTGTGGTGTATGGTCAAGTGAGAAACTCAAGCCTCGATTCAAGGGTCTTTGGTGTTTTTAATCTGTTAAAATATTATATGTGGGTATTATGTTATATTATATAAAGGAGCTGGTGGCTGGTATTATATTATATTATAAAAAAGAGCTGGTAGCTGGTGTGAATTGCAACCGAATTATAATTATGTTCTTCCGATTTGGGGATATTTCCCAGACTTTGTGGAAAGGCATAAATCTAAATGGTTGGATATTAATTTCTCTCTCTCTCTCTCTCTTTATCCCAACACTTTGTAACAAGGGAATGTTTGAAACTCAGCGATGATCTGCCTTCAAAGCCTTTCCCATCCCATGTACAATGGCACACGGTTTTACTCTTCGTTGTAGAAAAAAAAAGAAAGTATTTTTTGGGGTTTGATTTAATAACGTGATATTGATACTCAAACGGTGTGTGTGTGTGTGTGTATGTGGTGGTGGGGGGGGGGGGGGGGGGTAAAGGGGTGAGGTAGAAAGGAACAGTTCAGCAAAGAATTCTAGAAAAGTGCAATAACCTTATTTTTCCCGTTTCGATGCAACCGTTCGGAGAGAGAGAGAGAGAGAGGTTTCGCACTTTAGCGAACGGAAACCACGTTAATGCGTCGCATTCGCTAGAACTCCGACTTTGCCAACAACGGCCGTTTAAAAACCTCTCCAATCGCTTCACATTCGGGGCAGCGTTTTCGGCCACAAAATACGCAGTTAATTCACTTCACAGTATATTCCGTGAAGCGCTTTGAAGCGTCGCGACGACGTGATCAGCCGCTGTCGCACAGTTAAGGATTATATTATATTTTCTTTTGCGGGGGGGGGGGGGGGGGGGGGGGCAAACCTATAAAGATCGGGGCAGCTCATTGTACCAAATATTGCTATTTACAACTTATTCCTTATGAGGACAGAGTATAACACAAGACATTGGGGAAGCACTTGAATTGCTACCATTGAAAGTACAAAGTTCAGACTACTTTCCAGTTCATTTCCTCAGCCCCAGACTGTGGGTTTATTGTGGTTGAGGTGAGGATTGGAGTTGTGTTGTGGAGTAAAGTTATATCCAATATCCTAATGTGTGACATAACGACGCGGATGTCCAACTCACAGCCTCTGAGCTGCCGCCCGGTCTCAACGGACGGAGACAAAACTCTTTATAGAGGGACATTCTCTCGTAATCAATGAAGGGAATGGGATATGCAATTCGTAGGGTAAGGGATTTTAGGACGACATAAAACCGTGTCCCCCCCAAACCAACACCCGCTGCCAAACGCACTAACCAACACTGTGTGTAAACAGCGTGTGATTTGGTGTGAATTATAACCAGTTAGAGGTATAATCCTGGTCCTCTGACATTTGCAATGCATTGCTCTTGTCTGTCTATCTGATCGTCCGGACTTCTCATTGATTATTTATTGCCTCCTTTTTTTTTAGGAATCACATCGCCTTCCCTTGTGGCGTCTCAAACGGTGAGAGCCTGGTTTGCGTGGCACTAGCTTTCTGGCTGTGACTGACCCCCCCCCCACCCCCCCGGATAAAGCAAAGACCCTAAAAAACACTGCCGTTAAATGTCCCTGTGAACGAGAGTGTGTGTTAGAGAGTGAGAGAGAGAGTGAGTGAGTGTGAGACAGAGAGAGAGAGAGAGTGAGACAGAGAGAGAGTGAGAGAGAGTGACAGGCGGTGTGTGTTGTGGAAAGGTATTGAGTGATATGAAAGCGGATTATTCTCATCACAGACTGGGAACTGGGAAAGGTGATGGGGGGCGGGGAAGGGGTGGGGGGTGGGAGAGAGAGAGAGAGAGAGAGAGAGAGAGAAGGTGGGGGGAGTGAGTGGGGGTGGGTGGGATGGGTGGGGTTGGGGTGGAGGAGGGGGTGGGGGAGAGAGAGAGAAGGTGGGGGAGTGAGTGGGGGTGGGTGGGGTGGAGTGTGGGGGGGGGGCTTTGATGTGCCCGACGCGTTGTGGCTCTCACCTGCTTTGACTGAGCAGTGAATGTGGGCTTTGGATTCGTAGTAGACCCAATCGAAACCGGCTTCGGCGGCCAGTCGGGCCAACATCCCGTACTTGGTGCGGTCCCGGTCTGAGGTGGTGATGTCCACCGCTCGGCCCTCGTAATGCAGCGACTCCTCTGAGTGATGTCCATCCTCGTCCCAGCCCTCGGTCACCCGCAGCTTCACCCCCGGCCACTGGTTCATCACCGAGATAGCCAGCGAGTTCAGCTTGTCCTTACACCTCTGCCGGCAGCAGACACACACCAGAGGCGGGGGGGTGGGGGGGTGGGGGGGTGCGGGGAGAGGGGAGGAATGAGAGGGGGAGAGAGAGAGAGAGAGAGACAGAGAGGGAGGCACAGAGAGAGGGATAAAGGGGGGAGAAGGGGAGAGAGGGAGAATGGGGGGAGGGAGGGAATGAGAGGGGGGGGGAGAGAGGGGGAGGGAGAGAGGGATAAAGGGGGGAGAAGGGGAGAGAGGGAGAATGAGAGAGGGAGATAGGGAGAATGGGGGGGAGGGGGTGGAATGAGAGGGGGAGAGAGAGAGGGGGGGAGGGAGAGAAGGATAAAGGGGGGAGAAGGGGAGAGAAGGAGAATGGGGGGGAGGGGGGAGAAGGAGAATGGGGGGGAGAGAGGAAGAATGGGGGGGGGGGAAGAGGGAGAATCGGGGGGGGGGAGAGATAAGGGAAGAAAGGCAATCTTCAATAAACATATTTATAACAATAATAATATAATAATAATATATAATACAATATAACGTGGGGGACGCTGCAGTGCGCAATTGGCTGCCGCGTCTCACCCACAAAACACACAGTCAATTCTCTTGACAGCGTATCCTGCGAAAGCGCTTCGAGACGCCTCAACGACGCGAGAAGGCGCTGTATCACATGTCAGAGTTATTATTATTATTTATTTAACATCTAAAGTTCGTATGGTTACCACACGTCTCATTGGCGACGTATCAAATGCATGAAAGAAACCCAGGCCTCGTTTTACTTATGTTCCTCTCTCTCCCCCCACATGTCGGCCGACTGTACACAGGGGAGGAATCCAATAGAATAGACATTGCTTTAAAGAGGAGAATAATCTCTCAGTTTTTTTTTTGCGCCTTCGTTGCAACGTCTAAATCCGACATAAAATGAGTGGCTTCTTCAGCCATCGTTCCCCTCAATGTATTTCCTCCTCCATTGTAGCAATAACAATAATAATAATAATAATAATAGTCCTGGCATTTGATACAGCGCCTTATCACATCTTCGGGACGTCTCAAAGCGCTTCACGGGATACACTGTGAAGACTGTGTGTTTTGTGGGCGAAACGCGGCAGCCGATTGCGCACAGCAGTGCCCCACAAACAGCTGTGGGTTGAGTGACAATTTTTCTTAAAAGAAGGAGTTATTAATCCCCTTCATTTTCTGTCCAACAGCCAACAATTCACCCGAACCAATCGGTCACTCACCTCAATGGACAGTTTGTGAGACCTGAGTGTTGGCAAAGAGTTTGCCACAAAACACACCCCAATCACTGCACCGGACGGCAGCGATTGAACGTGAAGCGCTTTGAGATGTGGGGACATCCCACAGATACTATATCGAATGGAAGGATTTATTGGATTAGATTATCCGAAACACAGACCACCGATCTCCTCAAATGCGTAAAAAAATGTCGCCTTTTCCAGAGACAAATCCACATCGCCCCAATTCCAATGTGTAAAATAAAATGCTTGGAGTTATGAGCCAAAAGAGGACTGAACGAGTAGGTGTGTGTGTGTGTGTGTGTGTGTGTTGGGGAGGGGGGGCTGGGGTGGGGGTGGGGGGAGAGGGAGAGAAACTAATAATACATTATTTGTATTATATTCCTAAGCACTGCCACTGACATCGGACGCGATGAAATTGCTCAAAGGAACGGAGAACAGAGACCTCCTGAATATTATCGAGATGGTGTGTGTTTGAGGTGATCGAGGCTATCGCTTTGCTTTACGTAGATTCGGTATATTTTTATTCGGTGTCACTGTATCAGTTCTCCTCCCCGAGTGAAACCAATAATAATATGGCGACCAGTCCTTGAATAAAAGGCTTGTGCCATTTGTCCCGAGAAGTTCTAATACATCGTGAAGCCAATACACATATTCTTAGAGTCCATACATATAGACCCATAAGTACACACATTCACACACATACATACACACACATACACACTCATTCACATACACACATACATACACATGTACATACACACATACATACACATGTACATACCCATTCACATACACACATACATAAACACACACATACATACACACACATCGATACACACACACATGCAGACATACACAAGCATACACACATGAATACATATCGACACACACACGAACATACAGACACATATACGCACACACACAAACAGATACATACACGCGCATACATACACACACACATACACATACACACACACATACACACATACATACACACACACACACACCTACATACACACACACATACACACACACACACATACACACACACACCTACATACACACACACACACACACACACACGCGCAGTATATTGTGTAACCATTGTACAGAGAAGAGGGAAAGCCCAGTTATAACCAACTGACTGTAAGGTACCCAGACCTTCCCCTTTAAGAAGGATCCTTTGTTTTTGGCCGACTTGAATGTTCTGAAATTCCTCCCTGATGTGGGATGCCCGGGATGGCAATGGGATCACTGGGCTGTGCGCCAACTGGTGACAGTGTGAAGGTCTCCGATACAGACACCGCCAAACCCTGCCCCACCTTATCCTAATGGCTTGCTCACCAACTCCTCTGAGACAAGACAATTTTCAAACCCTTCCAGACATGTCCTAGAGAGGACAGGTTCATCAGTGTGTGTGAGAGTGGGGGGGTGGGGGAGCTGGGGGGGGATTATAAATAACACGCAGTAACCCGAACTCGCACAGGTCCAACAAATTCCCTTACCATCAATAAAGAGAGCTCTAGATTTCAAGATTTTTTTTCTCTCTCTTGCTTCCCATTCCCACCCGACAATATATATGTGTGTACATATATATATATATATATATATATATATAATATGAAGAGAGCGATAGATTGATTGTCGGGAGTCAAGAGCCGTGAAAGCAATGGCAAAAACTATTTATTAATTCATTAAGTCGTGCGCCGCTAATCGAGTCCAATTCTGCCCAATCCAACCTGACAGCCCCGGAGTGACACCGCGCTACAGAGCTTTGTGCTGCTCCCCAACACACACACACACAGACACACACAGAGACAGAGACACACAGAGACACACACACACACCCATACACACACACACACACACATGGAGACACACAGAGACACACACACACACACACACACACACACACAGACACACACACACACACACAGAGACACACACAGACACACACACACACACACACAGACACACACACACAGAAACAGACACACATACACAGACACAGACAGGCACACACACGCAGACACACAGACACATAGACACAGACAGACACACACACGCAGACACACAGACACATAGACACAGACAGAGACACACACACAGAGACACACACACATAGACACACAGACAGACACACACACACAGACACACAGACACAGACACACACACACACACAGCCATTAAAGCCATTACAATAAAGGTCTTTAATCCATTCCCGCTGACACCCTATTGTGAAATGAGTTGCAGAAAAGAAAACACTTAACAGATACCTGTCAATGTAAACAGCTCACCGTCCGGGGCTGTTAAACGCAGGGGTGGTGTGTGTGTGTGTGTGGAGGGGGGGGGGGGGGGGGTGAGAGGGGAGGGGGACTGTAAGTACTTTTCCCAAACTCCCCACACATCGCCCTCAACACCGCAAGTACCATCACGTTGGGGAGTTATTGCTGTTTCAATCAGAGAGCGGATCGCTTCCTACACCACCCGTCACACACACACACATACACACACACATACACACACACACATACACACAACACACATACATACACACAACACATACATACACACCTGCATACACACATACATGCAAACACACATGCATGCATACACATATACACAACACACACATCACACATACACACATAACACACATACATACATACATACATACACATGCATACGACACACATAGACACACACATACATTAAACATACATACATACATACACACATACACATTACACACATTCCCACATCGCACACACACTACACATACATCCGCACACTGTACATACATTACACACACATGTACATACACACACACACACTGCACACATGCAAACACACACACACGTTACACACACACACATATTACACACACACATTACACAGAGAGTTAATGCAACTCAACTGGGGGCTGGGGTTGGGGGGCTGGGGGCTGGGGGGCGGGGGGGGCTGGGGGGCGGGGGGGTGGAGGGTTGGGGGCTGGGGGTGGGGGCTGGGGGGTGGGGTGGTGGGGGCTGGGGGCTGGGGGGCTGGGGGGGGCTGGGGGGCTGGGGGGGGGTGGTGGGGGGTGGGGGGGTTTGCGTCCGTTCATTTGAGGGGAAAATCGACTTAAGGTCAGAAGTTCAAGCGGTCTCAGTTCATGCGGCAGAGAGAGAGGGGGGAGAGGGAGGGAGGGAGGGAGGGGGCCGTGTGGAGGATACCTGTCTGCTCCCCAGGGGAAACGACAAGCCACTCACTCCCCTCATTTTGTCTTTTTATTTGTGGGGGGGCGGGGGGGGAGAGATGCGCAGCTGAACTGTCCGCAAGCTGATCCAGCAAAGACCTGCAGATCCAAACCACAGCAATTCACACACACACATATACACCTCCACTGCACACATATACACCTCCACTGCACACACATACACCTCCACTGCACACACATACACCTCCACTACACACACATACACCTCCACTACACACACATACTCCCCCACACACACATACACCTCCACTGCACACACATACACCTCCACTGCACACACATACACCTCCACTACACACACATACACCTCCACTACACACACATATACCCCCCCACACACATACACCTCTCCTACACCCTCTCCACACACATACACAAACATACACCCCCCCCACCCCCACCCCCCCCCCCCCCCCCCCCACACACACACACACGCCGCCATCACCTCTTTTGATACGCGTGTCTTAGCTGTGAATGTTCGCTCTGTGAGACAGTGAGTGAATGAGAGAGAGAGAGAGAGAGAGAGTGAGCGCCAGCTGGGATACAGAGAGAGAGAGAGAGAGGGGGAGAGAGAGGCAAAGGCAAGAAGTGGAAATTCCAGCCTTTTCGATCGATAACCTTGGCTGTGGGGGGTGGGGGGGGGGGGGGGGCGTGAAGCTGAATCGCTTGTCTCTCTCGCTCCTCTTAGTGACTTGGGGAGCAGACCTACTCTCCCCTCTCTTCTCCCCTCTGTCCTTCTCTCTCCTCTCTCCTCAGCTCCCACTGACTGTGGCCAACATGCACCTTAAATTGAACCTCCAGACACCCATCTATATTTTGAGCGGAGAGGGAGGGAGAGAGGGAGGGAGCCGGGGGGAGGGAGGGGGGAGGGAGGGAGGGAGCCGGGTGGGGTGGTGAATAAGGCTGAGAAAGGACGTAGGAATCTGGGCTCAACTCGGGATGAAACTACACACAGTCCAGTAGCTCAGTGTAAACATCCACATTTCGCCCTTTCCCTTAAAAGAGGAACAAGGACAGGCTTTGTGACAATAAGGGGCTGTTGCTTACCATTTTATTTTTGTTATTCCCACCCACCCACTCCCCCCCCCCGCTTCCCTAATGAAACGAATTACGCAAAGAAATGCCGAGACAACTCTTGGATATCTGTTCAGGTTTCAAATCCTATTGCGGAGTGAGGGTTCCCCACCAGAACTGGCACAGAGACACAATATCTGTCTCACGTTTACAAACTAGAGAGAGAGAGGGGGAGAGAGAGACAGAGAGAGAGAGAGAGAGAGAGATCAGAGACACACACGGCGATGTGGTTACCTGAACAGTCGACATTTTAATCATTGGAATAAAACTGGCGCCTCAGTGAAGCCAGACATCGCCGTGTCACACCCTTGTTAAGGTGCTGTGGATAAGCCATTCAGCACCGGGGGCTTCTCTTACACAAATAGCAATACATTAAAACACCTCGATACGCGACAAACCCAGTGAGGACCGGGTCTGTGCACAGTTTGGGTGGATTTCTCTCACCTCTCCGCCCCCCCCCCCCCCCCCCCCCCCCCCCCCCCCCCCCCCCCCCCCCCCCCCCCCCCCCCCCCCCCCCCCCCCCCCCCCCCCCCCCCCCCCCCCCCCCCCCCCCCCCCCCCCCCCTCCCCCCTTCTCTCTCTCTCCCTCTCTCTCTCTCTCCTCTCCCCCCTGTCTCAGTCTGGCTCCTTCCTATCATTTCTCCAAAGCAAACCCTGGTCAGGTCACCCCCCGAGTGTTTAATTCGATTCAGGAGCTTTGCTTTTAATTTCTGAAGGGAGGCAACGAGACGAGGACGGTGCGCACTCGAGCAACGCGGGGACCTGACCGGCTGCAGGTTAGTGCTGAACCAGTGGCCTCCCGGTCAGGTCGCTGTGCGTGCGCTCTGGGTCTCCTTCCTCGGCTCTCTGCCCTTGGATCAAAGTACAGCCGAGGGGACGAGAGCAAACACAAGTCAGGAACCGTCACAAGAAACGCCTCGCACACACACACAGACCCAGACACACACACAGACACACACACAAACCCAGACACACACACACACACACAGACCCAGACACACACACAGACACACACACAAACCCAGACACACACACACACACACAGACCCAGACACACACACAGACCCAGACACACACACAAACCCAGACACACACACACACAGACCCAGACACACACACACATACAAACATACCCAGACACACACACAGACCAGACACACACACACACACAGACCAGACACACACACACACAAACACACGCAGACCCAGACACGCACAGACTCAGACCCACACTCACAACACCCAGACACACAGACCCAGAGACACACACACCCAGACCCACACTCACAACAATACTCAGACACACAGACCCAGACACACACACACAAACACAAACACAGACTCAAGACACACACAAAAACATAAAACATAAAGGGAAATGAGAGCGAGAGACAGAGACAGACAGCACACATTTACCGTCTAAAGTTTTCTCATATATATATATATATATATGCCCGCCCGACTCCCGACTTATATGTATGTGTGTGTGTGTGTCTGTCTGTGTCTGTGTGTGTGTGTGTGTGTACTTGCTCGCCATATCAGCCACTCCATAGTCCCAGCCCACTGCAGTCCGCCAGCAAAAGAGGTTTAACACATAACCTGGCTGCTGTACCTGTGTCATCAGTCTGTCAGCACCGCTGTCCTCTTCATCCTTAAAGATAATATCTGGGTTGTAATTGGGGGTCAGTTCTTTAAACCTCTCCGAGTTCCTGGTGATCTTGCCCTCGTATCTGCCACTTGCCCCCAAAGTCTTCTCGGCCACATTGGGGATGTATTGCTTGTAGGCCAGCGGGGTGAGTTTCCGAGGAGGTCTCCTCCTCCCGTGTCCCCTGCCTGGCCCACACGCTTGCACAGAGGACAGCAAGGATGTGCAGATCAATCCCAGCAAAGCGATCCTTGTTGTCAACATCATGTCCACTGAAATCCAACTACTCAGGGCTTGTGTCTGTCTCTCTCTCTCTCTATATATATATATTCTCTCTGTCTCTGTCTCTTCTTATCTTCTGATTTTCTCACTCTCCACCGATTCACCTAATCTCTCTCTCTCTCTCTTTCTGTCACAGTCTCTCTCTCTCTCTCTCTGTGTGTCTGCCTTTTGTACTGATTTTCTCACTCTTCACCGATCCACCTAATGTGTCTCTCTCTGCCTCAGTCTCTCTCTGTCTCTGTCTCAGTCTCTCTCTGTCTCTCCCTCTTTCAGTCTCTCCCCCTCTCAGTCTCTCCCTCTTTCAGTCTCTCTCTCTCTCTCTCTCTCTCTCTGTCTTATCTACTGATTTCTCACTCTCCACCGATCCACCTATGGGAAGGAAGCAGGTGCTGAAATGACAGACTTGATATCCCCGCTAACGGTAACAAGGTCGGAGTTAAGAGGGGGTTGTTTTCTTTTCGGGTTTTTTTTTTGGGGGGGGGAATGGTGGGTTGGGGTGGGGGCGGGAGAGGGGAGACAGTATTTTGTTGTTGTTAATCTTCTCTCACATACATGTGTGTGTGTATATAAAAAGAGGGGAAGAAAGGACGGGAAAGGTCCGGTTGGGGTGTGATGGCGGCTGGAGTCGCTTGTGACTGACTACCTCTCACTGCCTCTGTATTATAGCCTCCCCAAAAAGCCCAACTCCTCGCCCTGATTGGCTGGCGGCTCCGGGGGTCCCGGGGCTTCACCTGACAGGACCACAAGCCATAAACCTCCTCGTTATGAAAACATCAATTACATGGTGTTTCTCATTGCTGCGTCCACCCACCCCTGTCTCGCCCCCCCCCACCCCCCCCCCCCCCCCACCACCACCACTCACCACACCCCCCCCCCACCCCTCCCCTCCACACACACCTCCCTTCTCCCCTCACACACACACACATGCAAACCAATCACCCAAATTGATCGCTTTTTTGTGTGTGTGTGTGAGATTTCCCCGCGTGTCACACCAAACCCCTGGTACAGATACAAGCAATTTATGTTTTCTTCTAATCCCCCCCTCCTCCCCCGCCAACCCTAACCTCTTCCCCCATCCCACCCCACCCCACCCCACCCCGCCCGCCCCCTCCCCAACCACCTCCCTTTAACATCAGCGATCAGTGCGAAATGCTGAACTTATTAACTTTCTCCCCATCTCCTCCCCCCCCCCACACACACCCCAAATAGCATCAGGCACTGTGCGGCCACATCCAAATACATCACCTGCCGACTGATCGGTATTAACGTCGTGTTTTACCCACTGTTTAACGCCCTGTTTAATATCACGGGAAGGACCTCTAAGCCGCCAGCATTTAAGTCGCGAGTCTCATTCTCTTTACAGCAAAGTGGGACACTTTCGGGTTCTGCGTTGACACACGAGACAGAGACGGACACAACTCAGGAGGCAAACACTTTGCCATCAAATGAGATATTTGAGCGCAGAGAAAAAACACCCAATTGATTATGTATTTCTACAGCCAAGGCTTGAAATAAAATATTGCTTTATTTCTCATCCTTTCTCTCTCTCTCTCTCTCTCTCTCTCTCACTCCCTCTCTCTCTCTCTCTCCCTCACTCTGCAAATCTCCATTCCCCGGGTTTTGTATGATAATGAAACTGTAGTTTTTTTCTGTGGGGGGGTTTCCCCACCGTTAGTTCGGTGTTGGCCGGAGCTTCCGACACAGTTTGGTGTTAAACACGTCCGCAAACACAATTAGCAGAGATCGATTTGGGCCAAAGTAAACGGTGAAGATGAGTTTAATGTTAAATTAATTGCTATCTCATGCAGCGAAGCAAATTATGCCTTCATCCCGAGACCTGGCAATCGGGAAGAGGTGATGAGAGACTGCCCCAAATCCCCCGGGGGTACAGGTTCGCAGCGACACAAAAAAAATATTCCACTGGAAACTCAGACACGGAGGAGAATTGCCAATTTGCTGGAAGTCCGTGTCACCCGCGACATTGACAGTCGATTCACTTCACAGCACTTTGGTTCTGCGAAGCGCTTCGAGACGCCTCGAAGAGCTGATCGGGGGCTGTATGAACTGCGAGGATTGTTATTATTATTATTGTTATTATTAATATTAATATTATAACCCGACATTTCAAATGACATTTTAAAACGTTTCCCTTTTTTTAATGTTTCATTGGAGCAAAACAGTATATGCTTCATCATATATGTAGATAAATATATATATTTATTAATCGGTTCATATCGAGGACAGTTTCTTTCAAAGACATTCATTACTCTCAACGCATCCTTTTCTTAATCGCAGGCATTACATGTAGATCCTGTAGATCTCTCGGCAGCTCAAATTGGCCCAAACCCAGAGATCCAAAAGAAAAGGATAAGCCACTTCAGTCTTCTGTGAAAATAGTTCGACCCTCTGAAAGAAAAAATTAATTTAAAGGGTTGGAGGATAAAAAAATAAGTGACTGGGAGCGGTCAAGCACACAGCCAACAACTTCGACCTGTCATTAAACACCGCTGGTGTTTATGCCCGGACAGATTACAAGCACTATCTGGGCATTTCTCACTTAGAGGAAAATAAACTAAGTACTTTAACAACCCCCCCCCCCCCCCACCCCCATCACCCCCTCACCCCCTCACCTCATCTCCCTCCCTCCCTCCCTCGGCAATTCTGGACGATTGCTCTTTCGGTGCAATGCACAAGGAATTGAACATAATTAGAATAAAACATCAGAGTCAAAAAGAATTGGCAACGAAACTCATCCGAACTCTTGTAACGGTTTCATTGCCCTCTCCCCCCCCCCCCCCCCCCCCCCACCCCCTCTCTCTCTCTCTCTCTCTCTCACACACTTTCCCCCTCTCCCCGTCTCTCCCTCCTTTCCGCGGCAGCTACTGGTTACCTAAAACGCGAATGGATTTTTTTTATTTTTTGGGGGCAATTACACATCAACAAAATCTCTGTTTATTTCATTCTTTCTGATTCAAGTGCGTGTCTTCCAGCGAATACCATCTCTCCCTTTCCCACCCCCACCCTCCACCCCTCCCACCCCCACCCTCCACCCCTCCCACCCCCACCCTCCACCCCAACCCCCTGACAGAAACCTTCCCTGGATGAACTATGCGTTGTTGTTTTTTTTAAAAAAAATAACCAAAAAGGTTAATTTTGATGGTCAAGTCACGTCTCGATCGACTCGGTATCGATTGTACCCATCGCTGCTGATGATTTGAAAGAAAAAGTTAAAAGAAAAACCAGTGCCCGTCACCCGGAAAACAACCCAACAACTTTAATGTGGTTTTGATCCGTCTGTGTTTGTGTGTCTGTGTTTGTGTGTCTGTGTTTGTGTGTCTGTGTAAAAAAAAACACATCACCTGTTGATACCAACGATTAAATCAAATCAAATAACACCAGAGCGCTTCAGAAGATAGTCTGGAATCAGAGACCGTTTCATTGCAATTTTAAAAATAGTTTCCCCCTCAAACCCTCGACCCCCCCCCCCCCACCCCCCTCCCTCCCACCCCCCCTTTTCTTTTTCTCGTTCGTCGCTTAAAACATTGCTTTCATCTCGTTCCCAGTAGCAAAACGCTGGACAATATCAAAGTGAGTTTTGCAGACAGCACGTGGGTGGAAGACTGAGAAGTTAATAAAAAAGTTTTTTTTTCACCCCCCCCCCCCCACACACACACACCACCCCACCCCCACACACACAGACACAGACACAAAAACTTTTACTGCGACAGCAGTCTGCTCAGTTACAACAGAACCCAGGCTCACTGATAGCAGTGATCACACAGGTTTTCTTTTACAATAACGTCAACAACAACAGCAATAATAATAATAATAATAATAATGAAATAGACACGAGTGTTTATATCACTGTACATTCCACTACAGTGGGAGACTTCTCCCACCGTTAAAAGGTCTCCACAGTGAGTGGAGCAGATTTCAGCCCCTGTGGGAATTCGCAAAGGAAAAAGGGGGAAAACATAAGTTTGTTCTTCGCCTTCCAGGAACATTTGCGAAAGCCCAGGTTAAGGTTATAAGGCATCTGAACTTTTATTTTAAATTAAACCCCGATGGTAGAATTTACCCAACGCCAACCCCCCCCCCTCCCCCCCACCCATCCCACCCCAATCAATACTCAATGTACAAACGTGTGTGTGTGTGTGTGTGTGTTATGGGCTTCTGAACTCCACAGTTTTAAGACATTTATCTAAACGTTGTGTTGTATTTCCTTATCTTTCTTTACACCCCTCTCCCGTCCCCACCCCCAAGACCACCACCCCCCCAACTCAATAACTCCACAAAAACTGCACCCAGTCTGATACGTAGGGAAGTTTTAAGTGAATTGTTTGACACAGGAATCCACACGCACTATTTCGACTCCCAAGAGGACGCAAACGGGAGGGTTTCAATTAATTTGGACCAGGTCCGTTTACAACAACCCCCTCCCCCCCACACCCCACCCCAACATCACCAATGGGAATCTACAGGTGAAAATATTAAGGACAAATAGCCATCAAAATCAAACACCCCAACAATTCCCTTCGGTGAAAATCCAACCTGCAACTCAGGGCAGAATAGACTGAGAAAGAAAAAGGTTTCCAGGGGATCTTTGAATGAATTCTTCTCCCCTATTTGGACACTCCTGAAATCATTTTTCTCTTTTTTTTTAAAGAAAATCTGAAAGAGACACCATCTCTTGCTTTGTTGACCTTTGAGACACATATTATGTATCATAACACAAGAAAGGCCAATAATGGGAACTTGAATGAAAAATACATAGCAAGTTTGGGGACCAATGTTTACATTTAATGGTTTCAAATTGCACCTTTCGCAAGAGACATCTTCTGCTTCCATTTCTATTTCCGACCGCTTTCACATTCGAGCAAAACAGCCCAGTTCCTCTTGAAATCCACTCACTCGCCGTTCATTAGAACGGGCGAATGGAATGATCGGGAGTGTCAGAACTGTTCCCAAACCCAAACCCCACACCATATTTATGTCCTATTATGTTCTCCAAATCAATGTTAACAAGTGGCGCTTTGAAAAAAAAATTCCTACTCCCTCTCCCA